CAGTCACTGATTAAAAAGCTAATGAACATTCATCCCAGGTTGAATTCTTAGACCAGCATTTGAAAGTGCTGTTTTGTGTGTGTATAAAAAAAGGGCAGTTTAATTGGCTGCTCCATAGTAAAGGAAAAAAGTATTTAAGGCAACCATCAATGGTCTGCACTGGATTAATATTTGTGAAAATGTTTGACAACAAACGTCAACTGGTGTAATATCATTTCCCCTTCAGGTGTCCCCGCCAGAACAAGAATGATGATGTCCCTCCTGACCCTTCCACGGGAAAGAGGTTATGGGATCATTACAATCAAGTTAAAGTGACCTGGGAAAATCCCCCTTCCTGTTCTGCTTTGATCTTCGGTCTAGTCTCAGACTTCAGCACCAGAAAGACAGCAGTGTTAACAGCAAGACCTAACCATTTGATAACCTTACTCCTCTCAGTTAAGCTTATAGTTGCAAGCTCTGTGAGGTTCTGCACACTGATTTTCTGCCTTCCTTGCACAGAAATGATTTTCTAGGGAACATCCACGACAGCATGTCTGACATTTGAAAAGTGGAAAACTTTCTAATTCCTGTTTCTCCATTCGTTCCCTGATGAGTAACACTTTGGAAAATTCATCTCAATGGATGTTCTATTCAGACACTCAGCAATGGGAATAAAAATATAACTGAGTAGTCTGTCACCTAATTGACACTCACAATCTGCTGACAGGAAACACATTTGACCCTCAAAGAAAAAATTAAGAACAGTTCATAGAATTACATTGTAAACTACAAATGCCCTTTGTATTATAGTACTAGATGCTTAAGTTAAATATTTATGAGGGCAGTATATTTACACACTAAGGAGAAAATAGTAAATCAAAATTACCCTGTGAGGAATCCAAGATCAACTTCTGCCACAGATACTACCAAGCAGCAAGCTGCAGAGGTGAACGTGCCTCCACTGACATACAGGAACAGGTCTGAACCCATTCCCACCTACAGGCTCACTCTCCCCTCAGTTATTTACCCACAAGCACATGCTCAGCTGCAGACCCAGGGTGCCCCAAGCCCTCCTTAATGTGGTCAGTCCGAGCATGCCCCAGCCCCATCTACCTGGTGTCCTGAGTAGCTCTTGCACATCCCGGCCTGACAGACAGGCAGTCACGTGGCTGGGCATCCAGCAGAGCCACAGGGCCAGCGTGCGGGGGCCTGCTGCGAGCCTGCTCCTCATGCAACTGCACTCCAGCCCACGAGGGACTTTACACAACATCAGGAGCAGCAGGGACACAACCGTGGCAGAGAACAAACAGCTGTACAGTTTTTGCTCCTCATAGAAGTATTGTCAATCTCTAAAATCCAGTTAAGTCTCACGAAGTAGTGAACTCACTGATTAGCTTCACTAATGCACTAGAACCATTACTCTGGAATTTTGTAGCGATCTTTTTCTCCAGTACACTACATATAAGAACAACTTTTCAGCCTATAAATGCAGAAATGAACCCTGGAATCATCTTTAAACCATGCAAAGGGGATGCTCCCTCCTCCCACCTTATATCCCCCGGTCTCCATTTAATCCCCAGTTCTCCTCATAATGGGTCTGGAAATTGGATAGTAACAGAAGCAATGCACAAACCTCCAAAACATTCATAGAGGCAGGGACACACATTTCCTTCTGTAGAGATTCTAGATTCAGCAGTTCTTGTCTTTAACACCTGCAATTTGCTTGCACCCCCTCTGCATATGAACTCAGACCAATGAAAAATGAATGTCAAAAATAACCTCCAGAAGATTGGGCTACTCTCAAACCAACACTCCCCTGAGCCAGTTCTCTAGTTGCACAAACAGCTCTACTGACACAGCTGAGAGGGCAGAACAGAAGCAGGAACAAGTGGCTACAGCCTGCTTAAGTCGGTACTACCTCTGAAAAAATGCATGTGCAATCATGCCTTATCTCTCCTGACCGATGGGAGTTTGTGGAAGCAAGCAGGCAAGACCCAGTTTAGCCAGAAAGACTAAAGGGAAAGACAGGAAGATAGTGTGACTATCTTAAGGATAACCTCCCTTCCAAACTCCTCAGTTAGCATTAGAATCAAACACCTGGTTCTTTAGCATTTTCACCTAACTGCCCCTTAAAGCACTACAGAATAAAAGCACTGTTCACCTTCCTCCCTTAAATGACTATAGAACCGCTGTTCCTGCTCCTCCCTCCAAATGGGAACACTGCAGGCAGCCCAGTTGAGCTGTAGTGCAGCAGGGTGCACCACCTCTCCAGAAAAGCCAGCAAGTCCCACAGAACGTATTTTCCACACTTTCTATATCCCCTCAGCTGTTTAGTCCTCTCTACATCAGCACTTCACCAGCAAAAGCCCCACGAAAACCCGTCCAATGACACTGACAAATTAACTGACCTCGAAATAATGAGCTTCACTGTCCAGTCTTGCCTGTAGGGAAGATCTGGTTTTAACAAAAAGAAAGGCCATGTGGAGGAGAATAACGTACTCTCTGGATTAGGTTTTAACTGGATATCATTAGAGCCTTAAAAAAAAAACAAAAACCTTCCCATGCAAACTCCCCTCATCAGTCTATTACCTCATTCCACCCGGTCATCTCTTCTGGGAACAAATGTATTTGTCTTCTCATGTTACACTTGCGTATAGAGAGCACAGGGGACTTCTTTACTTTTTATTTCCTTTTCAAACTCTTAACTATCACCTATGAATTTTGTAAAGACCTTAACCAGAAAGAGATCACAGGCATACGTGCAACGGGACAAGTGCTGTTACTTGAGGTTGCATGCCACTGCTCATAAGTTCCTCCCAGCGGTAGCGGCAGCAGCACTACACAGAGTATGAAGGGCATTAACGCTTCTGTCTCAATAGTTTACACCTATGCCATACTGTTCCTGTTGGAAAGGTCCAGAAGTGAACCACTTTTGCCCTAGTTTCTTACAGGTTTCCACTGCGCTGTTTTTCTGTTTCAGTGCCGACTGTGGTGGGAAGCTGTTCTTTTGACCCTCCTCACCCCTCCGTATTTCCCTCCCACTCCCGTTAACTGCCCTTGATCTGCTGCAGCCTAGTTTCTGACTGTTGAAACTACCGGCAACTAGGTTGGGCCAGGGAGTAACTTTCAGGCCCCTTTCACCTTCGTGCAGTCTCGGAACTGCCCGTTGCTTCGGGATGCCTTCCATCATGTCAGCTCTTTCACAGCTATCTGGTTCCCTTCCCGACCTCAACGACTGCTCTTTTACCTGCTCCTCATCGGCAACCTTCAGGGCTGTATCCTCATTCCCTTCCTTGCACTGCTCTAATCTGGCCACCTAAGGCATTAGTTCCCATCCCAGCTCAGATGAACTCCTAAACTCCACTCTGTTCCCAGCTCCTACCCCAACCATTTTAATTTCATGTCAATAACTACCTTTGAACAATTCCACTGTCAGCTGATGTTTGAAAAGACCAGGCCTAGTTTTTTTTCTTAATCTTTCTCCTCTGAACGGTCCTGTCTCTTCCCTATCAGGGCAGCCAACCCTACTGTTCTCTTTTCTCGGATAATCTCCTTCTTTCACTCCTTGACAGGCAGGTTGTCACCAAGCCTCCCTCCAGCATCAGGCTCCTCCTCTCCACCTCCTTTGGCACAAAGGCTCCTGGGGAGCCCAACCAGGGATTCCACCTGACTAACACCAAGCATAGCCGAGATCACACCCGTCTCTGTGGCGTTCCTACCTGCACCGGGGCAGCAGTAAAACAAAACTACCACCTCCCGCCCTCCATCTTCCTTTGCCCGTAGCTCTCCCCAGCTGCCTCCTGCAGAAACACTAATCATCGGAGCACGGAAAATGGCCTTCCCGCCTGGCTGCCTCACGGCGGCTCTGGGCGCCAGGCCGAGCCACCCGCCGCCATGGCGGGAGCGCGGGCATCGCCCGTGCGAATTATTTAACCGGGGAAATGGCCACCCGGCAGGTCTGGGCCACCGGCCCGGCGGCAGCCGGAGCTCCGGGTGGGCCGGGAAGCGGCCAACGCGCGCGCGGCCTCCAGGCGGCCCAACCAGAAGGGCTCGGCGAGCGCTGCCGCGGGCGGGACCACCGAGCCCGCGCGCGGCCCCGCCGCGGGCCTGGATGTCACCCCCGGGGGGTCCAACACTAACGGCCGGCGGCCCTAGGGGGTAGCCGGGCGAAGTCCCCTCGCACCGCCGCTCTGCCGTTGTCCAACGGGGCCTCAGCTGGCACAGGCCCCGGCGGCGGAACACAGGGGCTGCGGCGGGCCCTCGGGCCGGCGTGAGCGGGCGCTTCCATCTCTCCGGATTCTCCATCCTCCTCCTGCCGCCCCCACTGCACTGGAAAGTTACTATTTAACCCAGCTGGTCTCCAGGCAGCCGCAGGCCGCCGGGGCGTCCGCGCGGGAAAACAAGGTCAGGACGGCGAGGGCTGAAGGCGCCAGCGCGGCGGGCGGCCTGGCCGAACACCTGTGGCGCGAGCCAGGGCTTCCTCCCGCCGCCCGGGCCCCCTGCCCGCCCGACCCCAGCTCCAGGAGGGAAGATGGCCGTGCCCAGACGTGATTGATCTTGGGGGATAAACCCTTTAGTTGGCGCACCAACACAACAAGGCAAGGAAAGCGTTTCGCGTCCGGGGCCTTCGGCGGGCGGAAGGACCGCATCCGGCATCTCCGCAGGGCGAGGAGCGCTCCCTCCCGAAAAGCGACCCTTGAGGTGAGAGGAGAAAAAAACCCAAACCAGTACAAAAAAACCCAACCAAACAAACAAAAACCCTGAACTAAAAGGAAAAAAAACTATTCGCGCAGCCCCACGGCCAGACGGAGAGCGAGGTGCGGGGCGGCGAGCCGCAGCCTTGTCCTCGGGCGCTTCGCAGTGTCTATGCGCCCGATCCGGCATCGCTGTAGGAGGAGAAGAGGGAGAAAGCGCCGTCCTGGCGGGTTCCCGGGCGTCGCCACGGGCAGAGGGGAAACGCGGCCAAGCCGCGGCGGGCCGCCCCGCTCAGCGGGTGCAGCAGCGTGCCTGCGATCACTTACTTGTCCGTCTCTTGTGACATGTTTGATCCAATGAACTCTCTCCCCTTTTCCCGGTGCCTCCGTCTCCCTGGCGGAACTGGACTTTCAGGTCTGTGCAGGTGAAGGTGTGCGTGTGAACGCCCGGGACGGCAGAACCAGAGCTACTGGTAATTCTGCTTTCCTTCCCCCCCTCTCCCGGCTCCGCAGCCAGCCGCCGAGGCAGGACAGGTAGAGCCCCCTCCCCCTGGCATGTGGGGAGCGGCGGGGCTGGGGCGCCGGCGGGGCTCGGCACAGGAGAACGGCCGGGCCGGACCGCGCACAGGTAACTTTCGCCGAGCGGCGCTGGATTCATTCACTAAAGGAGCGGAGGGGGACGAGCCGCTAGGCGCATGTTGGTGACGGCGCGGCCGCCAGGGTGCGGCTGCCATTGTCAGGGGGCGCGCAACCAGGTGAGGACGGAGCCGCCGCGAGGCGCCAAGTAACTGAAGCGCACACGCGAGCGGAGGCATCCGCGGGGCCGCGGCAGGGAGGGAAGGGAAGCGAAGGGAAGGAAGAAAGGGGGCCGCGCTGGGGTGGCGGGCAGTTCCCCACAAGCGTTCGCACAACCCCTCCCTGCCCGCGCCGTGAACGGGCGCCCGGTCGGGCCGCGCTAGAGGCGAGGCGAGCGAGGAGCGGCGCAGAAGGCCGGCGGTGCCCCGTTGGAGGCGGCCCCTGGCCGTGGTCCTCCTGCCTCACCTGCCAGGCTGCTCTGTGCCCGAAGCGGTTGCCGTCGAATAGTGGCCAGGGAGGCGTCGGCCTTCGCAGAACAGTTTTTTAGATCGTTTTTTTTTTCTTGGGTTTAGGGTCATTTTTACCATCTTTTCTTCCTCTTCTCTTCCTTTTTTTTTTCTTTTGACCTTGCCACGGTTGAGACCAGACGGAGCTGACGTTGGTGAACGTCGTGGTACAGAAGGCATCTCATGGCAGTGGGATGAGATGGTGCCAGGAGATGACACCCACTGCGTGGATCTCAGAGCTGACAGTTGAGCTAGGGGGGGTCGAAAGGTTTGTTTTGTCAGCGGGGGAAAGCTGGAAGAGAATGGGAAAGCTGGAATGGAATGTTTATTGAGGAAGGCTCTGTTATGCAGAGGCAAGGTGAATGGAGAGTCACCCTTCAGTCCAGTGCAACCTGCTGCGTACTTTGCCAGAGGACCAAAGTGGGTTTACAAGGACCAGGATCAGGCAGCAGCTTTCTTTGCCCAGATGGAGAAGGTGAGGAAGAAGAGCTCTCCCCATATTGGGACAATTTGAGAACAGGGAGTGGAAGGGTGGTAAGGAGACTTCACCCATTCTCAGTCCCCATTCCTCCACCAGAGACAGGTCAGGACACCAGTAATTCTTCCTGCTCCCACCTGTCCTCCTGTAGACATCTTTCTGTACTAGGTATCCAACTTGACTGCTGATAACCTCTCCTGTATAAATTGTGCTGAATGTGTAAAGAATGCACCATTACATAGGGTTGACCATTATGTTACTTAGTCATCTTTGCAGGAAAATTACCTGAATGATTTAAAAGTTACATCAAATTTATACTGTATTAGGTGAAGAGCATTTTCCATTTTCTACCTTTGATTTCACAGAATCATAGAATATCTGGAGTTGGAAGGGACCCACAAAGTTCATGAAGTCCAACTCCTGAACAGAGAAGTTTCCCTTGACAGGGGAACATAGTAGAAAGGATATTCATGGAAATACGTATTTGTATAACCAAATATATATGTATACATATACATATATATATAAAAAACATGTAGTCTTGCAATTTGGGGCCTGATCTTCCTTCACCTACTTCTGTCATTGAAATCAAATTTGACTGTTAAATCGTTGGTATTAAGGGATCACAATCAGGCACAGATATCTATTACTGGCTCTCAGACCTTATCTATATTCATAGTAACTAATAAAATCAAGCAAATCTAGTATAAATCATTTTTAAGTCAGCTTAAACATAGCCCCATGAAGATTTCTGTCACTTTAACTAAACATAATTAGAAAAATACTTTACCTAGATCGATGGCCCTTTGATTAAGCACAGGATATTAGTTAGCTGTTCTCTTTCTCCATTCACTACTCAGAGGAAAGAAACATTACTACACAATCTGTAAATCTAATCAAAAGTTGCCAATATGGCCATTATTCATGGCAATGTTTGTATGAATTATTTTGTATAATACATTTTGAGGAAGCCATAAGACTTCATAAAACACAGAAGAGAAACAGAGTAATTTATTCATTACAAATAATACAGTAATTTTGAATACAGAATTACTATGTAATCTTAAAACAAATTGAACCTCTCAGATATATTACTATGAGTTGTTTTGGAGAAGGAGTGGTAGAATGCTATAACAGTTTAAGTTAGTGAAGCTCTGTTAACTGCAGAAATGATAAAGTTTCTTTCCCAAATGATAAGGTTTCTTTCCCAAATATTTGTTATGCTGAAAGAAACTTTGAGACCTGAAAAGGTTACTTGTTTGAGCACCATCAATAGGATCAATAGGACACCAATTTGGGTATCCTCTTTCTCTTCTTTAATTTTTCAGCTATGAGAAACATTTGGATGTTGTCATATGTGTTCATTCCCCCCTTACCCCCACCCCCCAGCCCATTTTTCCCATATGAAATGTATAGGAAGGAGAGGAAGATCAGTGATGAGCACATTTGAAAATGCCACCTTCCCCAAGGTAGAAATGCTGCTGATAAATGATTTTACAAGAAAGAAAACTGCCTTTGATGCCATCTGTAGTCCTGGACCAAACCCAAACTGTAACTCAAACTGAAATGGAGTTTGTTGTTCTAATACTGGGTCAAATACAAAACTGCCTTTAGCAGCCTGCTCTCAGGAGAGATTCTCTTAGAATGTGGTAGTTGGGAGACTGAATTACTGCTCACTGTCTTAGGTGGTGTTCCAAGGTTAAAGTTAGGAATTTAAGTAGAAAATGCAGCAATGAACTCTCGATTTGAGGTAGTTGGAGATGACACCTATTATTTAGTTGGGAGTTGCTTAGATAGAAAAATTGTTTTAACTAGGTAGGTAGGCATAGGGCTCATAATTTTCTGGTTGAGCCTTTTGCTTCAGACTGCAGACTGGAATCAAATTGTCGGAGTCCACCTCTAGCTGAGCAGGTCAAACAAGTCCTTCCTAATCCAACCTGATGCTCATTCTTCATGATCTACAAGATTATTATAAACTAATCTGTTAGTCATTGAAACATCAGGTAACGTTATTTCTGGCCAGACCAGTCTCATTTCCTGTAGAATAAAGGCTGTGTAGAGTAAAAATGGAATAGTCGTGCCATACATAATTGAAAATTTAGGACTTGTCTTTGGAGTGTACAGAAAATATTTTAAATAGAAAAATACTAGTTTTCATACTGTGCTTCTTTGCACAGCATCTGATAGGTTTTTTATGGCGTTGTGAGGATTCAGTAGTAGAATTCAACACTCTAAAGCTTTACCTCATGTTTACACTGTTCACTCCATGGCAGCTATTACCAAAGACATTTGGACTTGCCAGCACTGGGTAGAGGAAATTGAGTGCACAAATAAGGCTTAACTAGGCTTACTAATTGCACTAAGTACCTGAAATGTATTTCAGAAAACTATTAAAATAAGTCTATAAGATAAAAGATGTTGGAGAGATATTTATGTCAAAACAGTGTTGTAAAGAGTTCAGTGAGAGAGCAGATGTTTGAATACAACTGTTTTCAGTAGGCAGTGATTACGTGGTATTTTTATTTGTGTCTTTCTATGTCATTGATGGCTGTTGATATAAAATGTACTCTCTCACAGTAAGTTCAAAGACAACCACCTACCTACTAATTTTGTGATATGCAACATGTGCTGTTAATTCTCCCCACAGCCGTTCCTTTGTAGTCCTCTGTATGAAACTATATTTATTGGAATTTGTGCAGACCTTGATCCTCAACTGACTTCAATGAAGCCATCATATACATCAAAATAAGCTTAAAAGATTGCAGTGCAACCCTCCTATACCACAGATAGATCCTTCTTATGCTCTAAAAATTAATTATTTTGCGCTGTTAACTTCAAGAAAGTAATTCTAAGTAACCATGATCCTGATAACAGTTGACTTTTAATGCTTCACAATGAATTGTAAAAGTCCTGTCACAATTAAAGATTTTGTGATTAATGGCAAGTACTTTTGGATTTCTTTCTGTACTTGTGGATGCTGCCTGGAAACTGCAATTTGTGCTCCCCAAACAGGTATGCTAGGAGCCCTTTAACAGCCTCATGCTTTTGGGTACCTCCACATCATGTATGACAGCAGCAGTTCAGCCATGTGGAGGACCATGGAATATCAAGCATTTCCTGGCCACAGGGTAAGGTGTGGAGCTGAGCATGGCACTTTCTGTTTGAAATGCTGATTTGCATTTCTTTTATATGCATCAAAGCAGTATGGAAACATGTAAGAAAAAAGGAGGGGCTTTATTTATTTTTGTTTTGCTCATTATGAATGTAGACTTCATGGTTCTGAAAGATGACAAAGTTATAACATGACTATCCTGTATATCTGCAACGCTGAACTGAGGCAGTGTGCCACACACTGTGTTTCAGCTTAAAACAGAAACAATTTTTAGTGATGAAAATACCTCACAGTATGTAAATCCTTTCAGTATTGAGATGAGATATTGAGACAGCTAAGAAGGCGGCAAAGTCTGAGAATAGGTTGAATTATTAGGTTTATACTTGATTAGCAGACATTAAAGTACCAATCTATTTCATAAAGATTACTCACAGTTTTGGAACCAATTCAATAGAATTATGATAGAACGATGGCTTTTCAGCAGATGCTGTGATCTGCGTGACAGAGTTTTTTCGTTATTCATTCAAGCATTTATAACCACTGGGAAAATACAGATAGATCATAATGACAGTAATTTTACTGTTAGTGTAAAACTGTAGTGTGAAAAAGAAGACGACATCTCTGAAAAGCAATTTAATGTGATGTGGGATCCAAGACTTTGGAAATATGTTGATTAAACTGACATTAAAATTGTGTCGTGTCTTTATGGGGCAGAGCTAGAGAATCTAAATAACCTGACCAGTGAGAAAAATGTTAAGAGTGCGTCTTCCTAAAGCTTTGTCCAGTTTTTTGTGTTAATCAACAAAATCTTTGCATCATAAGAGAACAAAATTGCAAATTCATAGACACATTTTGAGTAA